GTGCAACCAGTAGCAGCAGAAAAACGTCCGGGTACATAATTTGCCAAATAATTCAAATAATTCTTGCTTGGCCCGTTGCCATGCAAGATTGCCGGATGGGTGTTGAAAGCAGTGTTGAAAGCCGAAAATGAAGTTTATCATTTTTCAAAGGTAAAGATTGATGATTTTGGAAGGTGAAAATAATTGCACAATCTTACAAGTGCTTCTCCAGTATCCTCATCGAATTGCACTTCGACATCGTCCGTTACCCCGTTAAGATTTTGAAAAATGCGAGATGCTGAGTCAAGTCCTATTTTGAGATCATTCTAAATATGAGAGAAATTTAGACTTTCTAGAATTTGCTTAGCTCACTAAACATAGCCAATTTACCCTCAGCTTTTCGTCTAAGTAGATCTTTGTGTAGTAAAGCTGATCATCTTCATCATCGGCTACTTTTCTCAAAGTAATCATCTTGTAAAAATCCTTTGCATAACCGAGGAAGAGCCCAGAATTGAGGAACCTAGAATTCACGATTTTTTCCCTTTTAGAACCTTAGAAAGGTAAAATAAGAAGATCGCACCTCTTTCCAAATCCAACAAGTGGATAATCCGGTGCCAACGATTCATCCGGCCAGCAATAACCTTCCGCACCAAACAAAATTCTTTTACCTGGGAAATGTGTTTCAAAACGTTCGAGGATTGCAAGAGGCCCAGCCGTGAACACAACATCGTATCTAAAACAAGACATTATAATCATCACATAACTATGTTCCCAAAAACCACCTTTTCCAGTGGTTCCTTAGAGGTGAACATATTTATAATAGTGCAACATAGACTGAAAACACTCTAAAAATCTCAAATAAATCCCCTTTACTAAAAATTTTGCCTTTGGTCTTTGGTCGTATTTGCTTTTCCGAGAATAACTTCATGAGCACATCTGTTCCTCTTTACAGCAATGCAACTACATATTGCACAGCAATATCAGCCGCTAATTTACTTTTTATCACAAAGCATTCATTCTGTTTTTATGCTACGGTCATCAAGGATAACTCATATAGATCTTGAAGCTATTAACTTTTTTGTGGCGGCAGCGAATACACAAAGCAATATTTAAGGGAGATGAAGTGAACGAGCGAAAAGAATGGGAGAGCATAATAATAATTGATGACTTTCAAAGTAATGAAATTCCAATTCACTTGAAATATATTTGATGGGGTTATTGAGTTGGTAACTCTCCAAGCTATCTTT